AGAGAGAGAGAGAGAGAGAGGAAAGTTACAAGGAGAACGTGATTGCGCAATGGCAGACGCAGCATCCTTCACGGAAGAGCTCCCAGCGGGACGCGACGGCGAGGTACAGCAGCCGATCGCCGAAGAGCGCCCTCTGGAGCAGCACGACGAGGAGACCCCCAGCGCCCCTGCCACGCCGCCCCCGCCGCAAAGTTCACAGCTTCCATCCAGCGGAAACCCCGCCATCAACGGAGGGCGGAAGCGCCTTGACGGCAAACCCCCGCAGTCGCCTGTGACGGTGCGCGAAACGTCCCCGCCACGGCGGCTTAGGGTGACGCGGAACTTCAGCGGCTCGCCGTCGGTGCGGCCGAGACTGCAGGCAGCCCCGGAAGACGCCCAGGTGGAAGAACCAACCCCGAAGGCGGCGCTGCCGCATAAGCCCATTTTCTTCGGCGCTGTGACGAGCTATCCCCAGCATAGAAACGGGCTGCACGACAGCTGCGCGTTGCTCCTGCGGGACACACCGAAGCGGCAAAAGACACGGTCCCCCAATGGGCGGTCATCGGCGGGAAGCATGCCTCAACCACCCGCGATTCCCGGCACCGTGGGGAATGACAGCAGTACCCCACACACAGCATCTCCGGCAGCCACGGCCAGCATCTCCCCTGATTGTGCGGCCCCGAGAATAGCTGGGAGCGGCTACTTTCTTGGTGAAGGCGGCGAGATGCTGGACTCCGCTAGTCCCGACGTGGAGAAGCACGACACCACCTTCGCCGCTGCCTCCAACGCCTCGCGACGTGTCGTGCATCAGTCAGCGTCTATTCAGCGTGACGCGGACCCCGCCGTCCCTTGTACCGGAGACCCGGGACCGAGGCAGGTGCCGTACCGTGGCCGCGTGATATCCCCTAACGACCCCCTCTGGAGACGTGAGCGCCGTCATCGTTATGCTGCCACCACCTCTGAGGGCAAGCAGCACCACCAGGATACCATGCCACGAAACGCAGGCGTCCCACAGGTGGTGACCGAGGCACCGGAACTGCCGCCGGCGCTGGAGGCGGCGCTTGCGGACCACTTCCTTGCAACGCTCATGGCGTCTTCCCATTCGGAGGTGGAACGTGTTGTGTCGGCCATTTCCCCACGCAACCGCAGCGAAGTGCTGCGGTATCTGCGGCAGACGTACGGCGGTCGCCGCTCCGCCAACACCCTGTCCCCGGCATCGACGCAGCAGGGACGAGTGCAGAGCCCACAACATACCGTGGGCACCGCAACACGCCGCCGCCACGTGAGTAGCACGGTGCGCTCCATCGCCCCGCGAAACGGCACTGCGGGCGAGACGAACGGGACTGTGGCGGCGGCTCCAAAGCGGGTTCGTCACTTCGTGAAGTGCTTCACCCGAGAGGTGTGCATGACGTTCATGGATGAGTCCTGCGCCGTGTGTGCCGCGCACCGAGATCGCATGCGCGCGGAGCTACCGCCGGGGGTGCAGGCGCGTGGGGTGCCGGTGCCGGAAGACGTGCTAGAGCCCATCTTCGAGCAGGCTGTGTCCCAGCTGCTCCTCCAGATGCTCGCGTGGACGGAGAAGGAGGCTGCGCGTGTGGCACCGATGGTGGTGCAACAGGTGAAGCTGCACTTTCCGACATGCCGCCGCGGTGTCTCGCCTGCGCCAAAGTAAGACGAACGCTTTGGACGAAAACAAACAAGTGAAATATGTGCGATCATTTCAATGTGTGGGGATTGGGTGCGGGTGTTCTCTTCGCTGCGGTGACGGCCCTGGAAGGGTAGGACAGCAATGACAACAGCCGCAGGAAGGGACTATGGCGGATGGAACTTTGCGCACTAGCTGTTGCGCCCAGAGCCAACCAAAAAGAGAACCAAAAAAAAAAACTGGGCTGATGCGTCTTCTGCCCGACCCGGCCTCCCTTATTATTATTATTATTATCATTATTATTAACGTTGTTCTTCTCTTTTGACACACCTTGACTGCGGATAGGTGTAATGTTGGCAGGAAGAAACGGAGGGAGCGAGTGGAAGAGAGAAGGTATGTGTGTGTGTGTGTGTGTGTGCGAAGCAGGGCGGGAGTGAAGGGAGTGAAGGAAATGTGGCGAATTGCGAGTCACCCCGTACCCCGTGGGTGGGCTTGCGTATATAACCCCCCAAACAAAACAATAGGTGTTCTGTCCACTCCGCTCTGCTGGAACTAATTGAAAGCAGCACGAAAAAAAAATACAAAAAAAAAAGAAACAGCAACGAATGCGCCAATGTATAAAGAGCGATGGGGCAGTAGTCTGTAGCGGCGGACTGCGACGACGATGTTGCCGGCAACACACAGACACACACACACACACACACACGCACACGCATACACGCACACACATACAAACGAAACATGAATCAACAATGGGACATGGCCGTCTACAAGGAGAAGAAGGAGAGCGGGAGAGAGAGGGCCGAAGGGAAGGTGGGGAGGAAGACGAAGAAGAAGAAGCGGAAAGAATAAAATAGTGAGAAAAAACGGGC